GGGGGAGCAAGTTGGCACGACGCAGCTCCCCACGCAAGACTCCAACGCACGTACTCCAAAATGTGCAAGTGATGAATGAGCCTGAAAACAATGGCTGGGGTATACCCCAGCGGACTGACGGGACTGGACTGGACTGGCTGGTACCGACAGAGGTACCGGCCTGGACTGGCCTACCCCGAATACAACACAGGCCTGTGAGAACAGGCCAAGGGGCTGGTCTCACAGGCCAACCCGAGGTCCGCTACAGCAATCAATGCTGCTCATCAGTAAATGTCTGCGCATATACTACAAACACATGTCTGTTCAAACAAATGATTACAATGTTCAGGGATGCTGGACCCGCTTTCCAACAGGTGTCTCTCCCCACCAATAGATGGAGCCTCCCAGAAAGAAAAACAAAAAAAGGGGTAACTTCAGTAGAGTCACAGAAACGATTTGGTAATTGCACTATGGGCCAAGATACAGTTTGCAATTGCACTTGGGGCACCCTACCTGGCCAGAAAAACTGCACTTGCAAACTGTATCTTGGCCCATACTGCAATTATAACTCCTTTTTGTGACTCCGGCCTAGTTTTCCCCCCAAAAAAAACAATGTATATTTGTCCCAAGTGTGTTAACACAACTTAACGGGCCTTTATACCTCACCATCATGATTATTCTTCTCTTCCCACCCGCCCCCTACTGCACCATCCAACATCCATTATCACTATCTGTTCTTCACGTGTTCTTTTTTATTTATTTCTGTTTTTTCGTTTTTTTCAAAAGGGCAACGACCTTCAGATATCATCACAAACTTACCAGTCCCACAGGTCCATGATTCGTTTGCTAGTGGAACCGTGCTCCAGGTGATTCATCACAAACTGTGGCTGTGACACACTTTTAGTTTGAAAAATAGGCCAGAAAAGACAAAAAAGTGGCGCCGGTGTCATTGTGTGAGTTTCGAAATGTGCAAAAAGTTTAGCCGGGGTCTAAAACTGCCCCAGTCATTAGTGGCGCTTGGGCAGATTTAGGGGGGTCGCCTTTTTTCCTCCATTTGGGGACCTGCTAAAGTTGCCTTTTCTGAACGTTGGGTGTGACTGCAACATACTTGCCCCTCTTCTGTTTTCCTTCCTGTTCGTCTGGATTCGAACTTGCGTCTCCATTTCCACAGCTCATTGGTGAACCACCTGTAGACGGAGCCTCTGTTTCAAAAAAAAAAAAAAAAAAAGGTAGCCTCGTTGGTTCTGTGAACATCCTTCACTTTCCCCAAAAAAAAAAAAAAACATCCTTCACTTTTCTGCCGTCCCACAAGCGCCACAAGCTTCGTTATCGCTCGTCGATTCCAAGGTCTTGTTTTAAATGGGGTGGGGGGACGGTAATTTTCATTCCCTTCTTTTTTTTTTCCAGGCAAAACAATGAATAATCTGAGGCACACAAGCCACCACAGGATGAAGCAAGACGCTATCAGCACGTGCGACACACAGTCACACCGACGTGCATGCATCAGCACGTGCGACACACAGTCACACCGACGTGCAT